TATCCTAGAAGTCAAAATGAATATATTATTCAGCATTTTTCATCTATCACATAGATCTATTACATACGTCTTTGCTATATATTTTAACACATGCTTTATTAAAGCAATGTTAACAGCATGTAAGCTTTTTTGTTTTGAAGGACAGGTATGGGACTGGATGGGGGTTGGGGAGAGAGGGAGATTCTATTTCAAATCTTCCAGGTTACAATAGGGAGTCAGGTTCACATAAACCACTGGTGTTACTCCAAGGGCAAATGTAATCCAGGAGAGTTGATATAAGCTTTCCAGGGCTACATACATTCTATAAACTCTTTTAGTTATAGGCAAACTAACAAATTCTAAGGGCAGGGAGTAAAAACATAAGGGAGGTAGGGGAATGAGGAACAAATGGGTGTGAGGATAATGAAAATGGATTAAAGATCCATTTAAGCTGCTGATACCCAACCTAAATAGTTACAATTAAAATGTCATCATTATTCACTTAATGGTCAAACTCTTTAATCCCTTAAGTTTAAATCCTTTTCTCACTTTCAGAAGCAAGCTTAATAAAAATGATAAATCCTTCTGAGTATCTTAGTAGTGCTAACAGTCTTACTCATCCTAAAACTTTTACACTTATAAATATTTGATGGCAATTTAAGAAAAAATGAGAAGAGAAACAAAATTAAATTAAAAATCAGGAATTCTTCTTGGAAATGTACAAACTATTAATGAATTTATAAACTCGAAATATTAAGGTATCAGGAACTAGCCAAAAGGGTTACTGTGTTAACACAGGTGGGAAGAGAAAGATGTGGTAACTTGCAACTCTGAATTTATGAAAACCATGGTTAAATGTAAATTAAGATGGTCCTTCAAGCCTGAACAAGGAAAACATTTTTAGATAAGAAATAAATTTTCTTGGGTTTTCAACTTAAGAATACCATCTCAAATAATGCTGCATTTTCAACTGACAAAAAATGTTATCCTGTATTTATATAAAGAATATATTATTTATCATGTGCTGTCCTTGCAGGTAAGAAGTATTGATTTTTTTTTTAAACTCTGCAACTTTAAAACCTTAACACAGTGCTTTGTATGTAAAAGATCCTAAAATATTATGTAAGAAATAATTTTCCTTGGCTATTCACTTGCTATGTTGAGCACAATCTCTCTCTCTCTATCCTATTTTATTTTTACTTTTTGTACCAGAATTTGAACCTAGGGGTGCTAAACTATTGAGCCCTTGCCCATATGTTTGTGTGTGTGTATGTATTTTTATTTTTGTACCGAGGAATTGAACCCCAAATCACTTAACCACAGAGACACATCCACACATCTTTATGTTTTACTTTGAAACAGGGTCTCACTAAGTTGCTGAGGGCCTCACTAAATTTGCTGAGGCTGGTCTTGAACTTGTGATACTCCTGCTTTAGCCTCCTGAGCTGCTGGGATTACAGGTGTGCACCACAATGCCCAGCAATCCCTTTTTTATTTTTTTCTTTTGAGACAGAGTCTCATTAGTTGCTTAAGGGCCTCACTAAGTTGCTGGGGCTGGCTTCGAACTTGTGATCCTTCTGCCTCAGCCTCTGGAGTTGGTGGGATTATAGGTGTGCACCACCATGCCTGGCTATCCTGTTTTTATTGAGAAGAGTTTTTCAATTAAGATAGCACATCTTTGATTTATTTAATACTTAACAAAACATACACTTTTGATTTGAAATGAAGTCTTTAGTTCTTTATATCCCTAGAATACAAATTTAGTTTTAAGAATATAAAATTAATGAACAATATATTCTGAACACAGGAATTATAAATTAACATATTTGCCATGGTTATTAATAACATATTTTGCCAATAACCCTCTGGTTCATGTAAGACACATTTTTCTTTTTTTTTTTCTCTCGGTTTCCTGAAGAACTGAGGAACTTGTGACATAAATAAACACTTTCTATGGGCATTAGATTTCTATTTCTGATTAAGCTCTTTAGGTGCTGAGATTTCCCAGCTGTGAAAGAAAATTCAATACTAATAATTTGTTCAGTTCCCTGATATTCTGCCAAGGTAAAAATATGGTCCCATGTCAATCTTACTATTCTTAAAAAAATGTTCTCATGACCACTATGCTCACTAAGAACAAGCAAAAGACATACAGAATAAAAGAAACCAAAATTCATGAAGAGTCCATTCTTTTGTGCATGCCCATCAAAGTAAAAATGCAACTTTCCCCAAACTCTCCCCTTACTATCTCTTCAGGTAGGAGAGGAAATTTATATCAGTCTTTACTGAACTACAGTTAAATTCATTTAAGACCATCTAAACAGAGTGATAAAACTATGTAATGAATCTAACTGGTATAAATGGGAACTTAAAATTACTACAGCTTTTTAATTATATAAAAAAATGGCATATAGAGACTTTTGGCATTAGGTATTTACAGTCCTGTGCCTAATTGCCTCACACACTGAACTATAATCCCAAGTTCCCATACATTATATATTTTGGGAACACTGGGAATTGAACTCAAGGGCACTCAACCACTGAGCCACATCCCCAGCCCTATTTTGTATTTTATTTGGATACAGGGTCTCACTGAGTTGCTTAGTGCCTCATCATTGCTGTGGCTGGTTTTGAACTCATGATCCTCCTGCCTCAGCCTCCTGAGCCCCTGGGATTACAGACAGGTGTGTGCCACTGTACCTGTCCATAATATTTTAATATTAAACAAAAGAAAGTCATTAAAAACAAAATACCTACTGGCCTCAAGGACTAATGAGTAATAGTCAGTAGAGAGGCAAACAATCAAACAAATCCTTTGCTCTACTTACAAATGTTTAAATATGAAAGATCTGATTTTAAAATATTGACTTCTAATATACCTAAATTGTTGTTTAGGCCTTTAAGTCTTTTAAGGAAGCATGAAATGGTATTATGGCAGGGGTATTTAAAAATACAGGAAAAATGACACAGAATAAATAAAAAGACTACGTTTCCCCCCTTGATGGTAAGGGAAAGGCAGAAAAATACAAAACAAAACAAAGAAACTACCTCCCCCCAAAAACCCAAAACAAACAAACAAACAAACAAAAAAACAAAACAAAACCAGACCAAACAAACCCCTTTATTGATTATGATGTTAATATTGTACACTTGTGATTTACATTCCCTGAGACATGCATGTATGGTTAAAGATAGTATTTTAAATGATTTTATTTATGCTGATATATGATAGTGTAATAGAATTAAAGAGCTGATTATTTGGGACATTTTAAGTTACATTAAGTTGTATTTCAGATCAATACATAATCAAGTAAAATTGCAACTTTCCCCAAACTCTCCCCTTACTATCTCTTCAGGTAGGAGAGGGAATTTATATCAGTCTTTAAATTCATTTAAGGCCATTTAACCAGAAGTGATAAAACTATATAATGAATATAACTGGTACAAATGGGAACTTAAAATTACTACAGCTTTTCAATTGTATACAAAAATGTATTGATGATACAATAACATATACAACATATATACATTTTCTACAAAAAAAGTCAAGTTAAATCCAGAGTTTATCTGGAAAATATAGTAGAAAGCTGTAAATATTTGGCCCTGCTTAGCTGGAGAAAAAATACACACAAATAATTTTTATGGTATAAATTGGTAAAGAAAAAATTCATTCTATGATCAAATGTAATGATAAATGCCTATATCTATTTTTAAATTCCCCTTTGGCAAAAATATTCTGAATAATGTTTAATACAGGAATTTCTGTTTAGTTAAATAAGGTAGTTAGCTAAAAAAATAAATAAAAAAAAGATTTAATCTAATTATTTGTCAGTCTTACTATCTTTAGATTTTTAAGAATACTGTGACCCAAAATCATATTAGGTATTTATCCACTTTAGTTTCAAAAGCTCAAGAGAGTTCACAGACTCATGAACCTTATATAATGGGATGCCATTTTTCCTTACTTAAGTTCATTTAGGAGAAAGTTAACCAAAACATTTGGAAAATTATATGCCAATTTCCAATCATTCAAAGCACCAAAATTTCTATTACAACTTTTAAACAAATAAATGCCTACATCAACTTGAAAAATAGGCAGTTCAGTAATTAAAAAGACTGATTACTATAGAGACCAAATTTCAAGCTAAAATGATTTCATATTACTTTAAGTAAATTTAATATAGTAATTCTGAATCCTAAAATGCACCATCCAGGAAACAATTTAAAAATACATATGCTTTACAGAAAGAAAGGCTATCCAAAGTATAAGTCAAGTCACATCTATTTTTCTCTTCTGGATACCATGTATTATTTACAATGAATACATTATAAGGATATTTATAAATTATACACATTTGTATAAATGTGATAAGGACTATCCACAGAACAAATTAAAATTACATCTTAGATTTTTCTAATATTATACATTATTTACAATTTACATGTCATAAAAATACGAAACTGATTTTAATGTCTTTAAAGTAAAAAATACTTTTTCTGATCTCAATGGGAGAGGGTGAGCTATAAGATAAAATTTAAAACTATTCATAGAGAATCTCCTAAAAAAACATCATTTTTCAGAAAGAAAAAATTCAATGGTACTCTCAAGAAGCAATGCTTTCATTTCAGCAAGAATACACAAAAATGAAATTTTTTTGTAGCACAAGAACCAGAGAATATTGTGCTATGATGATTTGGTGGCAGCTTGTAAACAGTAGTCTGCCCACAGAGAACTCTACACATTCTACCTACACTTTTATCATATCAGACATTCACATTCCAAACACATGTCAGTGGTTTTATAGATACTCGTTAGGACATTTTGGTTAAAATGTGAATCACCTGAAGTAGAATTTTGTAACTTAGGTTGGGAAAAAAGAATGTAGTAGGTTAAGATAAAATTCCTTTCCTGAGTGGTATTAGGAAAATAAACCTCTAAAAGGTACTGAGTCTATTTAGTAGATAATGAAAATTAAGGAGAAAGAGCATCAGGATATACTCTAAACACAGTGACAGCTTACCTGATATGCCATTCTTGCTGGTGTTCAATAAAGCTACAGATGCTGCAGAAACTCTTTTATTGTTCACAGTCTGCCCTGGTTTTCTTGAGGTACATTCTTCACTATCACTGTCCTGTAAATTTAGTAGCCTTGGCTGGAAACACTGTAGTCGACAAGATCTGATATTGCTTAATATTTCAGAAAGGGACAGTCTATTTTCACAAGGTTTACTGGAAGCATTGGTCCGAGAGAAATTAGAAGAAAAGTCTATATTCTGGGAAGAGCTTGAAAAACTATTCAGCATTTCAGGGTCTATCTGTTTCAGGACTGGGTCATGTTCTGTGGATATTCGGTCCATTATGACTCTGAAAAGCAACATAAAACCAAGTATTAACTGGATGAACTTAACAGTTTCTTTATACCTTCCCTTCTAGCTGGTAAACAAAAACCAATCAAAACAAACAGTTTACCTTCCACCTCTGCCAATTCGCCTCCTTGCAAATCCTATACATCTTCTTGGGACTGAAAGTGTTGTAAGGCAATGCCTATACCTCAACTTATCCAAATCTGCCAATTCTGAATTCTCACATGTATGGTCAGCTTGGTCCAAACGAGGCTGAAGGAAAAAAAAAAAAAAAAGATAACTCATGGAGTAGTTACAAAAAGTAAAAAAGTTAAAACTGTATTTCAAGCATTCATGGGTCAAGCTTAAGCCTCCTTTTTGAAGAAACATATAACCCATTTCTTTGCCTTCTCATTACCTTCATATTTTATTTTTCTGTCTTACCACTTTTGTCCCCTTTCATATTTCCCCCTTCTCTCATCACTATAACCTGTAAATAAATCTTCACACTCCTACATTAAATACACATACCCTGGAAAAGTTGTCAGTGTGTGTTTACCATAATGCAATTAGATAAATGGTCTCTACAATCCATGTAAGAAAGTCAAAACCATCCTCTTAACTCTATAGTTATACTTCATGAGAAAACCTTAGCACTAGGGAGTCAGAGCCACTCCTTGATGTAATGCTGCACCCAAACTTGACAAAAGCACAAAGAGAATTCCAAGTTTATGCATGCACAAGATAGACTTGCAGCACAATAAATTTCCATAAATACTCAGCAGTCATCAAAGGTTCCAGAACCAACTTAGGAGATTCTGGGGCTAACAAATGCTAAAGCTATAGTTACAGCCCAGAGCAAAACTAGATTTCTAAAATATGAGGAATTTTCAATTTCCAAGCAAAGAATTCTGAAACCTTTTGAAAGGACTCAATATCTTTTAACATCTTTTACTGGTGTTCACATAGGGAAGGTTAAATAAAAGCCACTAATGCACTTCCCATTTTTAGATCAAGCCTAAGTCACCCTGACATGAGTTATCTGTTAATTCCAGTTTGTAAAAATATCACAAAAAATAAAGTTCTTACAGCATAATACTGGCATCCTGCCCGCCTTCTGAAAGCACAGGGACCATCAGGATCATTTTCTTCTTCGGGTTCTGATACTGGGGATGGTACCTGAACAAAAGAGGTATCCATTTAGGAGTTACTTAAAGTCAATAAATCAATAAGTGCAATGACCTAAAATTAAAATCTGATCACCAACAGCAAATCACTCCATTATATCTAGTGGGTAATAAATTCCCTCAAACATTTAATGATTAGTAAATATTTTCTATGATTAAAAATTCTAATTTTTAATAAATCAGTTCTTACAGTAAGTATACATGATATTGTTGAACTGCTTATTAGCATGAAGTGTTATGTTATAAACTTAAAAACAATTAGTAGAGTTCTTCTGTATCCCATTTATATTTTACAAATAGTATATGTGGCCATAAATACTTAATGATGACAGTTATGCTTCACATATAAATAGGTATTCTTTTTATCCAATAATTTCTCTCTGTAATAAAGCCCCAAACTAGAAACACTTATGAACAGGCAAAAACAAACAACAACAACAACAACAACAACAAAAACACAATAAAGGTAACAGATTTTACTCAAAAGGAGTTTTTTTGGTTGTTGTTTGTTTTTTTAAAATATCCCCCCACATTTTTAAAAAAATTACTTTTAAAACTCAACAGTACAGAAACAGAAAATTAGAAGAAAGAAGATTTGTTAAAGGTAAAGCAGACTGGTTGCAGAGAAATGGTCAATCCTAAAGGAAAATAATAGTCTTTCAAAAGGCTGTCACACTGAAAAGCATTCTGTCTGGGGCCATGTGACATCAGGCCAAACAGTGTGATCTCTAGGGCAGCACAGATACATTATAGCATACTTATGTCATAAAAACAGATTAAATGATATATAAATATATTCAAACACATCAAAGAAATGTTTTAGATAAATTTCCCCCATAACAGTTAAACAACAACAACAATAACAAGAACAACAAAAGTTTTGGTACTTAAGTTTCAGTTGTCTCACAATTTCACTTGGCAGTGTCCCACTTTTTTTGACAAATGCTAGCTCAATCATGTTTACTTGCACATTTTGAACCTCACAAATCCCTCTTTCCCTATCTTGAGAAGAAAAATATTCTTTCCACATTATTTCCAAACTGTGGTAATTACCAAATTACCACTTAGCAGAGTCATCCAGGGGAGAAGGGTATTTGTTTGAGGTTCCAATATACCTCCAATAACCCTACAGGCAAGATACAAAAACAGTGAGCTGAAGCTGATTCTTTTTCCTAGGGAATCAGTTCCAAAGGTGAAATTTGAGAAGAAATTTAAAGTATAAATTTTACAGTTTGGTTTCTTTGCAAATCATCGATCTAAGATACACACAGAAAGTTTGCAATTAAAATCTTAGAAATTATAGGCCTACAGTATATTATCTCTTTTCTCCTATCATTCTCCAGAGTAGATTCCAGTATATGTGGGAAAGCTATGACACAGGAAGAAAGAGCTGATATTAAAAGAACCAGAAGCACAGTCAGAAGAGACTGGGTTTTTTCTTCTGCCCTTCTGTACATCATTTGGTTAAGTCTGGTTAAAATGTTTGTTTTCTTCATATTTCTTATTCCTCTTTTACTTGTTTATTGGACAAAGATCACTGTAACACTATTTTTAGCAATAAAAGTCCTGAATTTAGAACAGCTACATTCTAAATACCTGCCTCAGTGAATGATATCTAACTACAGGTAACTATTCTTTAGAAATGTAGGGATACCAATAAAAACCAGAGAGCTGTCTAAGACCTAGTACTAGGACTCAGAAAAGTCTAAAGGTTTCAAAATGCAATTTCTTTGAAATTATATGAATAAACATTATAGAAAAATAAAGCTGAAATGAAAATCCGTAAGGGATTTATGACAAGGAATTTATGACCACCACTTATTCTGAGTGAGTCCACCTCTTAGGCTGGATGGACTGAGTGTCACAACAGGAGAAAAAAACTTATAGAAGGTCATACTATCCTATGGCATCCTTCTTAATAGGACAAGAATGTAAAGAAAAATTTGTAGGCTCTCATTTGCACTATTGATATAATACTCTTCTACATATATTTAACAAACCTTGTCATTTTCTTAAATTTTTAAATACTCAATAATATAAGTCTAGATAGAGGCCATCTGCCATTTGGCTACTACTGCAGGCATCATTCCTCTAATCCCTTTCCTCCTCTTCTGTTGTTTTGTGCTCCAGTGATGCCAAACTTCTAGCAGTTCTCTTAATAACTGTATTCTCTGCTTACAGTCTTTCACTATTCTCTAGATCTGGAAAAACCACTATTTGATAGGATATTGAATCCTTCATTCCTTCAAAATAGTCATATAATCAATGTCTCATGGTTATTCAAAGTTTTGCCTTAGCCTAACTGTACTATCCTCTGACAAGTATGACCCGTTTCATTAAGTGGTTCTGAAGAACACACAAAATTAAACACATCTATGTGCATCTGTTACTATCACATGAAATATGAACTATGCAGTGACTAAAAATAAAAATAGCCAAAGGAGCACATTTTACATTGTATGTAAACATCTGAATTTTAAATGGTTGCAGTAATAAAGGGTTTTAGAAATAGTCTTGCTTCTAAACATATGTGTGACGTTACAAAACTGCCTTTAAAGAAAATAAGCAAAACTATTACAATATGATAAAACTGATAGTGAATTCAAGGTATCTGTTACAGAATTCTCTTCAAGTTTTTTATACCATATATACCTATAGAAAAAAAAAAAGGAAAGGAAAAGAGAGGGTACTGCTAAACTAGGTGTTAAACCAAATTCACTTTCTGAAAAAACGAATCCTTTAATATGTAAACTAAATGTCTTGTTTTAAGAATAGCACTTGTGAAAATAAAGTTAAAAATTGTAATTGCAAATATTTTGCTATAAAGCTGTTACAATATCCAAACATATATTTTCATAAGTTACTATTTTAATCAGTTCCTAAATCTTTAGAATCAAATAGCTATTACCCAGCAATTAGCAAAACTTAAATATCATAAAATATAATGCTAGTAGAATATGGTAAAAAGGGAATTATCATAGTTGAATATTTACAATCATGTTGATTTGTTTTTGTGATACTGGGGATGAAACTCACAGCCTAGCCTCACACATGCCAAGGCAAGTGCTCTATCACTAAGCTATATCCCTAGCTCATGATTATGTTTAAATGTCTTAAAATACTGATACACTTTGGATCAGTAATTCCATTTTTGAAAATTCACTTTGAATACAAAAGATAAGTTTGTTAATTTTTACAAAAGGAAAAACTAAAAACCACTTTGATGTTCCACAACAGAAATCCTGTTGAACTTATGGAAAATAAAAGTAAGTACTATTTTAGTGGCCACACAAACACACAATGAAGAAAATGTTTATGCTGTAATAACAGGTTAACAAAGCAAGCATCAGAAATCTTAAAATGTCAGTTATATTTTAAATATAAAACAATATAAAAGAGTCAGAGGAAATGTCTTTAAAATAGTTTTAAAACAAGCACCTGTGGAAATTCATCTTCATCTGAGCTGTGAAAGTCATATTGCTTAATGTCACTCTTATTGATCACAGGCAATGTCTCAGGAGTGGGCTGCTGAGACGTTATCAAAGCCTCTGCTTTAGGCTTCTTTGGGTACTTCTTCTTTTGACGAACAACATCAGAAGCCTCTTCTTTCAAAGATATATGATGAGGGTGCTGTTTACATGATGATTTACCCCCAAAAGGAAGAAATGAAAATCATTTTAGAATAAAATCATGAAAAACTATATTGCTCTTTGAAAAAGATACATTTTTATCCATGAGATAATTTTACTGTTTTTAGTATGCAAAAATTACTTTGTGATCATGAATTGAAACATGATTTACTTTCTGCAAATTATAATGAAAACTAATTATGATATTTGTTTGCTTTTTGTATTAGTAAAGCTATTAGTAATTTTATATTGCTCTATTATGCAATCCAAAGTTTAAAAGGTATCTGAATGCAATTCTTATATAAATCYACTATATTAAAGAGGAAAACAACTTATTTAAAAAATAATTTGAATGAGGTTATGAGTTCATTAATTTATTTATGCAATTATTTCTAATTTAAAAAATGTCTTTAGATGGTAATCTTTTGAGAAAAATAAGCTTATTAACTAGAAAAAAACTTTTAGAATATATAATTATTGCTTCAACTGAACAAAAATCAAATGGTTCTCAAGTACGCCAGGGTTCTGGGGAGGTACCTGAGAGGCCATCTGATAAAGGGACTGATTGATGGGGTAGTTTCTAGCCCCCACCTCCCTTCGATAGAGCAACTCTGCTTCTACATGTTTTAACATACTGGCATTTCTTTTAATAAAATTAATGTACGTAACGCTTTTAAAAAATTTTAAATGACTATCAGACACCAAACTATAAACAATATCAAAGTGTAAAATTTTTTAAAAAGCTATGTTTCCTCATGTAGTCCAAATGTCAAAACTACTTTAGGGTAAAAACTGCACACAATGAAAATGTTGCTTGAGTGGCAGATTATGAATTAGACAGATATAAACTATTTTATATAAAGGGTAGAACTATTTAGAAAAAGTAAACACCAACTTCCTAGAAACTCTTGATATTTTAAGATAGGATGTGTGACAAAGTAAATATTTAACCATGTGTAATGGGGTAAGATAAAGTATGGATGCAACCATATCTGTAAAATCAGTATTTAAACGGGCCAAGTATTCTTAGAGAAGATCTAAAATAAGATTCAGCTTACAATAAAGGCTGATTCTATCAGTAATTATGGGGTAGATTTTTCATATTCTAATGCTTAACAGTTGCATACCTAGGAAAAGCACTGATTGATATAAAATGGATTTTGAAAAATAACTTACAAAATGACATTTGTGGCATTGATAACTTTTCGGCTAGTAAGACAAGCAAAATTTAAAGGGAACTGTAGATGGGCTAGATGCCTGTGATTAATAAGAACCTGGTATTTGAATTGACATGAGTTGAATAAAGGAGGAAATCTTCATGCTCCACAGTCTTCCTTGACCTTTAAGAATGAACTCATGAAAAACAAGGACTGTGTACATTTGTAAAAGATGAATTTTCCACAAACACTCTAAGTCACTTTTAACATCTTGCTAGAATAAGGTCAAGTTGATCTCCTTATTTAAATTTAAACTCCTTAAAATTGAAGGTTTTATTAATTTTTATATAACCCAATTAAAAAATTAATGTACCAATGAGTACTACATAAATATAATTATTTAATTTAAGAATAAAATAATCACTGAGTACAGTTTTCTTATTAGGAGGAAATTTGGATCCAGATGTTAGAGGACTTTTTAAAGTCATTCAAGGTAGGTAAAGTGATAACTGCAGATTTTGGCAATGACGACAATGATGACAAGAATAACTCCCAATAATCTCAATGAAGAAAGCTTTCAATTTTACATTTTAATGCCTGCCACTATCATGCAGAACTTGGTAGGGCTAGTGATAATAACTAGACTATAATTACCTTTATTCTCCAGTGAAATAAGACTGTATGTTGGAAAGCCATGTACTTGGGAGGCCTGAACTCAAGTCATGCAGAGGTAAACCCTACTTCAAAGGATTGTTGTGAGGTTTAATGGGCCAAAAATATATGTAAAAACTCGTATAAAGTGTTAGGCAAAGAGTAAAAACTAAATTGATGTTAATGACTTTCCTTAACCATCCTACAGATATCCTGTAGACATCCTGTAGACAACTACAGAAATGAATAGTTATCTGATCATCATTTCCATACATAATTTCTCCCCAGAGAATATTTACCTTAGTTTTACATTCTTGGACTTTGTGATGATTTCCATTATGAAGAGTTGCTGGAGCGGTATACAACTCTTTTTCTGATCTACTGATTTTCACTTCATTAAGGATCTCACCTCCATAGTCTCCCAAATGGTATCTTGAAAAGGAAACAAAATATTAGAAAATGTTCCATAGTTTAACGATAAAAACATTAAAGTAAAAACATGACATTTCAATTAACTAACAAAACAGAGCTAACAATAAGATTCATTTTAAAAAGAAAACTTATAGAAACAAAGGATCTCATATTGGGGTTCAATAAAATGCAACAAACCAAAAAACATACACAAAAATACCTAAAGTACACATGTGATTAATTTCTCATATACTCTGCATTATCAAAGAACCAGGAAATGTTTAGAATGCTTATTTTAGGAATCACATAAAATTTTGCTCAGTTTAGTCCACTTATTTACACAAGAAAATATATCAGAGAACACATTTCCAAAAGAGCAGAACCAAAAAATTTTGTCTCCCTAGTTAGAAAATAAAATCAAACATTCATTTCCAATAAATTTTGTTTAATAGAAACTTGAACATAGAGAACAAAATGATCTCTAGATTCTTTTCTAAATAAAATTCAATTATTCTGCCAAAAATTAAGCTTATTAGAGAATCAGTTTTTTTATACACCAAAATCCCTCATATCGGCAATTCAAATTGCCAATAACTTAGTTAAAAAAACAAACAACTAGTAGCCACAAGTCTTTGAAAAAGAAAAAAAAAAAGGAAATTTGGTAAGAATTACCAAAAAGCTTAGCACCCCTCTCCATTTTTTGTTAACACTTTGCCCATCATTTGGCTAAAGGTGTAACAGTCCCAATATTACCTTTTTTCCACAACTTCTAAGGTTAAGTGCAATAATTCTCGTTTTGTTTTCTCTCTTCTCTTAATCATTTCCAAAATTGTTATGGCTCTACTAAACTCTCGTCTCAGTTTCAACATCTTTTCGTAAGAGGCTTCATCATTCTTACGATTCTATTAAAAGTAACAATTTTAGAAGAATAATTAACCCAATTATCCACATTTCTAGATTCATTCAACAAAATCTTATCAGATCCAAATTTATCTTATAAAAGCAAATGTTTAAAAATGTTAAATGTAAAAATGTTTACAAATCATCCGAAGAACAACTATATAAGACAACCCAATTATTTAACTCTGAAAATATAAGCAATTATTGTATAATAGACATTCAGGGGAAAAATGCTGGCGGCCACTGAAAATACTGAATGGCATAGAAGCAATAATTCCAATAATAAAACTTCAAAACACATCCACCTAAAACAAAAATGAGTTTTATCAAAAAAATACAGATCATTCGTATTATAGCAAGGTATTTTTCAATGRCAGAAATAGTTCTGCCAATATAAACATGAGCAATGCTCAGCAATCAAAGCTTAACTTCAGAAACTCAGATAATTCAAGGTATGAAGAATATGCATCTCAAGAAATGGTATTATCATGTTTCAACACAGTAACACAGTAGAAAAGAGATTTAGCAAAAGTTCATAACTGTAGAATATTGTTAATTAGTTATTAATTATTGTTAACAAATAAGTTAAATTTAATTACGAAATGAAAGCCTTGTTTAATAACTACAGAAGGTTCAGCTGTAATTAGCATCATCTGTTTGCATATAAAGTTACTATTCATGTAAACTATTTTGTTAAATCAAATATTCACAGAGTATTTATATAGGGCGTGGAACTGTTAAAACAGACCACTACCTCTCTTTAATCTCTGTGTCCAGACACTTATACAATCACTTCATCTTTGAGTTAGTAATTTAATATGAATGACATTAGAAAGAACATAAAGAAAGAGTGCCAGAGGTTTCAAAACAGAATCATAAAAGACAAAATAAGAATTGAAAGAAACTCGAAGTTTTACTTTTTCTTTTGTGTATTGTTTCTTGCATTTAGAAAATAACCATCATGTATTGTGCACATGTATGAATATGCAATAAGGAATCCCATTAATTGTATAGTGCTCCAATAAATTTTTAAAGAAATAAAATTTGCATTCAAGGAAATGCAAAAAAAAAAAAAAGAAAAGAAAAGAACCATAATGTATTGAAAATAACCTAAACTGGGTCAATAATTTCTTACAATATAGTGAATTAAAAGTTTAACATTATCAACAGCAAATATTAAAGTACCTACTCTGTGCAGGGTATAGCAAATGCCCTCTACCCTGGTTTTTAACTAATGACAAACATACAGAATCCAAAAGTGAATCATGCCACTGGCAACTGAATAACATTCAAAAGTGCACTAGAACCTTTAAAGACTGCCCTCCTCTTCAAAAAGTATTCTTGGACTCTAGGCTTACTCATTTCCTGTTCTCTTCAGGCCCAAATACCTACCCTTCCTAACTTTTCCTTTCCCCAGTCCTGTACTTTTACTCCTTAAAAACAAAGAACTTTTATTTTGAAATGATACAACACATAATTCCCATTTATCTTCATTCAGATTCTCCAAGTTAATGTTTTACTTTTGATTTATGTGGACATATATAAACATATACATATATAATTGGTGGTGTATTTGAAATTTTCAAGAAAAGTTGAACATATAATGCCCCCATTTGTATGTTTTTCTCAAAACAAAGATATACTCATATATCATTGCAGCATAAATATCAAGAACTGGGAATTAACTATAAAAATCTTAATTCCAAGGCTTTATTCATATTTGTCCCAGTATTGTCCTTTACAGCAGTAAGTATAGCTGCTATRCTTGTTATAGTATATCTCTAAGGACTCAGGGATTACTCTAAGGGTTACAATTCGTTGCTAATTATTTCGATGCTCAAACTTTCCCAGCTCTGATCAGTACAGTCCCCCTTCAACCTGACTCCTGTGTCCTTTTGATGGGGCTCCAACATTCTTCAATCACATTTTTATTTTCTGGTACAGCAGCACATTTCTTTCAGGCTTATCTTTTTATTTTCCCAGCTCCAGACATGGAATCAACCAATTTTCATAAGAAGCCCTGGTTCCTTTCAATGGAGCTCAGTATTAAAAATCATGTCCTACACATGCTAGGTACACCCATTTTTGTACTGGGTATCACTGCTTCTATAGTCCCTCAGTGAACAGACCTAGGAAATAAATGTACAAATATATGTATGTACATACCTAACCAAATACATATCTGTTTCTAGTTTTATCAATATTAAAAATCATGAATTCATAATGACATCTTTTCTATTCTCTCAAATTTGCCCTTTTCTCTGTATCTGAATTCTTAATCCCTTCTCACAACTGTCTCTTCTTTGGGCCAACTCTTTTCTCCCTATTCTAGTTAATAGTTCTGTACCTACTGCCAAATCTCCAGAGAAGTGATTCTCAAACTACTGTATTTCAGAATTAACTACAGATCTTTTTATAACCATCGATGATTCACAGATGATTGTTTTGAGGCCCGAACTGGGAACCACTTCAGGGTCATGGAGAGGGAGGAGAGAAGGCATAGGCATTAAAGTTATAGTTGTGCAGTTAAACATATTAAATGTATATGCTGATTCAGGACTTATCAGTACTTTAACACATGCTAGTTCCTTAAGACTATCTCATTAAAAATGACTATGTACTCCTGAATTAAATATTAGTTTACTGAATTAAAATTAAAATTAGCCAAAAAATATTTCAGTAGTTTTTTTTTGTATCAACTATATAAGTGCTTTGAAGTTCATGAAATAAGTATAGAGCCTTGGTTAGCAGTATTCATTCACTGCATATCCCAATGCCTGCCCACCATCTGAACAGGTAGAGCATATGCATTATTTGTTAAGTGCTTTCCTCACTTTTTCATTCTGAAACACATAAACATTTTCAACTAGTAACACTGCAGGACAGAGTAATAGTCTTTGGACCTATGAGTAAAAACAGAGAAATAAAAAGCAAAGAACACTAAAAAGAAAATGTACCACTCTTCAGAGGAATATGAAAATAAAAACAAAACAAACAAGAAAACAAGAGAAAGGGTAGGATTTAGAGTAAGGAGAAATTTGTGATGAACCAACAATTGAGTACCTAAGCATAAGAAACAGCTACCAGTAATTTTCAATATACAATAATTAGAAAGAATAAACCATATTTTAATCTTCAAAATGCTATTTAAATACCAATAAATATTGCTAACTTAAAATATTTCATCCTCACTCACTAAAAGAAGTCCAACAGTACATTTTCCTCAAAAGACACTGCTAACAGTTTATGGTTTACAAAGCATCTAAATCAATTATATTGTTTTAAAAAGCAACTGCTAGTTCAGATAAACCTTTCCTTCCTTGCATCCAATAGTCCACATTTGTAGTTTTATGAACTTATCACATTTTATTCTTTTCTAAGCAAAGTGTAACGTCTTCATAAATATCTTAGATTCCCTTACTAGAACTAGAATGCAAAATTGGAAACAGCCTGGGTTAGCAAATGTCATCTATGCTTGGGAAATTCATTCTGTGATGTTTAAGAAAATMAAACCCATAAGAAAGAGTTATGAAAGTTCGGGTAACTAACCAGTAGGAGAATTTCTCCTAAAATATATCATCTCCGGCAGCTGTTATGCTTCACAGCTGTTAGGTTAACAGCTGACAAAGACAAGCTTTCAAGGTTAGGAGTAACAACAATATACAAAAAATGCCCTGCCTCCAATTATAATTCTTCATGGTTTTACATTTACATGTTCCCAATTCTTTGTGATGTTAGAGAATGTATTACCAGGTAGTATTTACTGTTAAGTTATAAGAAATGTAAATTATAAGAAATATAAGTTATAAGAAATGTTTTGTTCTGTATTATATCAGTCCAAAGTGTKAGATCCTTTTTCTCTTACTTAGAATTTTGGCTCACACTGCTACTGAAAGCTAGATGGGACAAGTCCATCAATTTGAAATCTAACACAACTGTCAACTAAGAAAAGGAGAAAAAGATCCCACTGCTGCCAGGATTGGTTTGAAAATGAACATTTCCCTACTTCCCATGACCCCATAGTAACTAGAGGCACCAAAGTTCATTTTTCTTGTAAAAACTAGAATATCGTTTTTAAAGGAATTTTAAGCTTCTAAGTTACCAACAAGGAAAAGCAGTATTACTTCAAATTCTCAACTTCCCAAACAGAACAGATAAATGACAGAATGCAAAATTTACTGAAGAACTCAAAATTTGTAAGATACATAAGGACACAAAATTCTTCATATTACTTCAACTACAAGCCTAAAATAGTATCAGTTATGAACGGTGTAGGTAGTACATAAACACCAAAAAGCAAATGGTCAATAGATGAGATTTAAAAAGTAGGATTTCTAAAATAAAGTTTATCAATGTTATTAGGTTTCATGTTCAAATTACTCAAACTTATTCAAATTATTAGGAAAAAAAGTTACTGGTCTTAAATTATTACTGATCTACATTCAATCAAATATAATTTGCACATTACCTTTCGAGTTTGCATTTTCTCTGTTCTCCTCCGAAAGGCAACATAAGGGTCATTGTTGGTAGAGCCATCTCTTTTCTCTTGTTTTATCTGAGGAATGAGGGATGGCCCCCTGCAGTTTTTACGTTTTCTCACCCAGTAGTCATATACAGCTTTAATAAGATAATCATCTTCGTTTAGCAGCAGTTTTGCTTCTTGAAGTGTTACAAGCTAAATGAAAAACAAGACATTACCAACTATAATGTTTGAAAAAAAAATCAAAATTGAACTACAGTTATCAGAAAAACATGTGATCCATTCTAACAGTTATGATCAGATAATATGATGGTAAAGACATGATTCAATTCAACCTAACAAAGGTCTCAATAGTTAGAGGAGATTTATTTAAAAATTAATTATTTTGTCGAGAGGTAGAAGTTTCACAATTTAAGAAAAATGTATAAGTAATAGTTAGGAAGACTATACTGAATTTATGCTTTAGTAAGTCTTGGCCTAGAAGACATCTGGGGTCTTTCAAAATTTTGATAATCTATGATTCTACATATTTTAAGGTCTACTAGTTTTCAAGCCTACTAAGTAGCTTCTATTTGGTTCTCAAGAGCAACCAGAAGATACAGAAGGTTTCATTTTACATAATGTCAAAACAACAAATATTATTATAATATGCCTATTTTGGAACTGAATAAAGGAAAAACAGCATATATCTGCAAATTTCAACATTATGCAATGAACCAGTATTTCCATACATTAGCTTTAAAGGGATGCCTTTCTACTGTTGAAGTTCTCTGAAACTGTACTATATACCCCAAAATCTACAAGGGTAGGAGTAGATTAAGAATTGGGCTTTATATAGGATTTCTTTGCATCCCTGAGGATTGAACCAAGGGCCTCATGCATGCTAGGTAGGCGAGTGCTCTACCACCAGCCCAGAGTTGAGCTTTATGGATCTATTCTACTTCAAAATGACAGCATCACTGCATCACTAGAAGCTCTCCTGTGCTCTGAAGGGCCAGGGAAACATCCTGCATGTGTTTCACTTGTTTGGTCATTATGCTTCTGATAAATCGTCCCACTAATCAGAGAACAGTAATGAGCTTCTTATGTAACAGTATTACCAAACTAACACTACTTCCTATGCTTCTGCATGGCATGCTGGGATTAAAATATCTGCTCAGTTTTCCTTCACTAGTGGTCCTTGCTCTAGCTTGCAATGTCTTTTGTTAAGTACCCTCCTTACATCACAACTAATAAGAATTTAATATATAGTTTGCAGTTAAACATCCTACTATTTCTCTCCAGCGTTAACTGTATTTTCTCAGTTAACTGCTGGTTTTATGCTGTTATACAGCAACTTTTTATTTTGTGGGAAAATCTAGTTTTAAACATTCTGTAAAAGTTATCTTTAGCTATTCTAAGACAACCTGCTAGTATCACTGCATCTCTATCATGACAACAACATTAATTCGAGTGGGTTAAGAACAAGTTACAGATAAAAATTATCAAATAATAATAATAATAATAAGTTCTGTCACTTAACATGCTTACTTTAACCACCAGAAAGCCGTAGAAACCATCTAACTGGCAAAAAGAATCTAAAGTAAATTTAATATTTCTAAAGTAGTCTGGTGTTGATTATTTAGGAAGGCTTGGATATGGGGTGATAACACTATCCTACTTTTTGGGCTTTTCTTCTAAACTGTACTAGCTTCATGAAAACAAGGACTATTTATTTTGCTAACAGATAAAACCCCTGAATTGCCTAGCAATTTCAATGCACACATTTTTAATACACAAATTAATAAACCACAGGTGAAAATTGGTGTTTTCTAATTTATAAAATGGTGAATTAAGAAAAAGTAGAATTAATAATCAATAAGTATTAATTTATAGGTTATGGAAAAACTAAGGAAAAAGCTTTAAGATAAATCTATTACCTAAAGAAACTTATAATACGGCAGTAATGGTAGGATAAGATCAAATCAATAAGTAAGACAACATAAGAACTTTGGAACTCAGTGCAATAAGCTACAAGGTGGGAGAGACAGAACAACCAGGAGTGCATGCATTTCTTTTCAGTATTAGAAAATGACTGCTTTTTTACCATTTTACTTCTTTCAAATTTGATGGCTTATTATTTGTGCAATAGCCTAAACAGTACTACCAAGCACAAAAGCAAAGTAACTATAAGGATTTACATTAAATTTAAAAAGGGTTCAATAATCACTTTTCACATTATGTTCTTCAAGAACGAATGACTGCAGTCCAAAATTGACAAAGTGAAGTTGTGATGTGACTTTAAAAGTTAATACTGGATATATTCAAATGACATTAATACAATGCAATGAAATTATCATCTGAGGAGAAAACATCAGCATTCAATGAAATAAAAATATATATTTTTATATATTTTGAATATTCAAGGAGAAATGCCTTTACCAAAGTTCCAGAAAATGGAAACATGTTCAACAACAAAAATTTGGTAGAATTATAGTCTTCCTGTCTTTGGGAAAGAACTCAAACATAAATCATGCCCTATATTTTTTACAGGCACATATGCCTAAATCAAAAAAGGGAAACACCTGTTTAAACTCTAAGACAAATGCCACAATTAAATAATCCTTTTCCTGCCAGGTGCGGTGGTGCACACCCGTAATCCCAGCAATTCAAGAGACTGAGATAGGAGGCTTGTAAATTCTTAGCCAGTCTCAGAAACTTAGTGAGACCCAGTCTTAAAATAAAAAATAAAAAGGGCTCAGGATATAGCTCAGTGGAAAGTGCTTCTGGGTTAAATACCCAGTACCCAAAATAAATAAATAAATAAATAAATAAAAATTTAAAAATCCTTTTCTTTTTCATAGAGAAGGGACATTAATCCATTAAAATTAATTATTATTTCACTTATCACCAGGCTTGAGATGACTACTTTAGAAGGATCTATTTATTAATTCATTTTTTCCTTCAAAGGTTCCACTACAGTTTTCTGATTCTTAATACTGCCAACCCAAAATGGAAACAAAGAGATCATGGAATAATGAAATCATAATGATAAGATGGTTAGGATAAAGTTTCTCCAATTCTATGAATAATATTCAAAGATATAAGAAATTTCCAAGAGTTCTTTTAGTCTTCCATTTAGGAGAAAACTTTTTTCTAACTGAATGTTGATAGATTGCTGACATGCTGAAACCAACCTCTGCAGTCACAGAAATGACCCTCTGATATTTTCATAATACAAATTTTAAAACAAGTCTGGATAAGACAATAACATTTAAATGAGCTGAAATGAAAAATATAAACCTTAAATTCAAATTAATTTTCAAATCAGACTAGACTTTCATTAAATCTACATAGCATAATTATAACATACATGTACACACATATTACAATTTAATATGTAGGTTTTAAAACTGAATTATGTGGCAGGATTCATTGTGACTGCTTCAAAAGATGTAGACCAAATTTCATTTTTAAAATATAAATATTTGCTGGGTGTAGTGGCTCAGGCCTGTAACCCAGCAGCTGAGAGGCTGAGGAAGGAGGATCTAAGTACAAGGCCAGCCTCAGGAACTTAGGGAGACCCCAGACAACTCAGCAAGACTCTGTCTCAAAATAAAACACAAAAGGGGCTGGAATGTGGTTCAGTGGTTAAGCGCCACTGGGTTCAATCCCTGGTACCCCAAAAAAACAGTGCCCCAAAATATAAATAATTGAAAATTGTAGTAAAGAACAAGTCCCTTTAAAGACACTATATCCTAAATTAAAACAAACAAACACACACACACACACACACACACACACACACCAAGAGAGACCCTCTCCCATATAAAAAAGCACACACATTCTTAACAGTACACAAAAAAACATACTTTCTTAACTGCCACACTGGGTATATCTGCTTGAGGTCTGCCTAAAAGCAAGCTTAATTAATAATGCAATTTCAAGTAAACACTTAAGATGCTGTATGATTTTTTTTTTAAACTGCTTGATTATTATATCAAATCTTGGATATCTTTACTTTAACCTTTGTAAGTACAGTGAAAGTTGGAAACATATCAGCCAAGGTTTCTATCTGTAATCAAGAGAAAGAAATCTATTGGTAAGATACTAAATATTTCAACATCTTTGGAAGTGTTGGGAAATCAGGTTTAGAATCTGCAATACCTAAAATTAAAGCCATGGACTGAACTAATGGTGAAATCCACTACTGGTTTTGCATAAACAGTATGGGGATTTACTAGAACTGCTGCTCCTGCTGCCTTGGTAATGCCAATCTCTTAACCACTATCAGAGACTTCGCTATTGTCCTTGCTTTTTTGTAATAGAGGCTCTAAATTCAAATTCAGTGATTTTAATTGGCAAAGCCCAGGTCATGTAATAGTACCCTCACACAAGGCAACAGTGCCTTGGATGCAAAAAGGGTCAGGAAAGAGCATTCAGCATTTCTACCTTGTTTTGTTTTCTTTCTTTGAAACAAAGTCTCACCAAATTGCCTGGGCTAGCCTTGAACTTAAGGATCCTCTGGTCTTACCCTCCTTAGGATCTGGGATTCAGGCATGAATCACTGTGCCTGAACTGTTCCTTCAGTTCCTATGGGCTAGAGAGCAGAAATCTGCTTTGCACCAAGATTCATCACACCGAGAATTCTCCAAATGCAGAATAAAGTCCTAGGCTGCAAAAAGCAGTGTAAAGGGTATTTAACTCAATAGCAAAAACAAAACAAAACAAAAAGATCAACACATCTAACTACTCAGAATGCTTTAGGAGTGAGTCTTTCTGGGAAAAATCCATCCAGAACTCCAGTTTCCCTTCTACTTCCAGTCTCCATGAATATGACACCAAGAAACAGGGCTGTTACAGGCTCTAAAATATGGAATTTGGCTTACTCCAAGAAGTAGAGTAGAAGTTAGTATAAAATTCCTCTTTTGGTCTGAGACGGTGAAGCTTATCAAATGACTGTAAATATTTAGTAAAACGATCATTTTGGGATGTAAAGTCCTTGTTTACTAAGACCACGTATTAGAAAGGTAGGATCTGAGCTGGAACAGTAGCACACATCCTTAATTCTTAGCTACTCACGAGGCTGAGAAAAGATTGCAAATTTGAGGCCAGCCTTGGCAACTTAACAAGACCCTGTCTCAAAATAAATAAATTTAAAAAGGCTAGGGATGTGACTCAGTGATAAAGTGTCCCTGGGTTTAATCCCCATTGTAGAAACAGGGTGGAAAAAAAAAAAAGGAAAAAGAAAAGTAGGACTTGGCTTTCTAGGCAGAGGGAACAATAAAGCAGCATGGTACATTAGGTATCAGTGAAAAGCTCAGTGTGTCTAGAGTCAGGTGGAATATGGACTTTATAGATAGTGGAAACCATTACAGGTTTTGTTTGTTTTTTTGAAAGGAGGCTAGTTTTTAATAAAATAGCTGGTGGCAGAATTGCAGTGGTCCAGGTAAGATAAAATAAAAATGGAGGAAATGGATAGACAAGTTGATAACTGAAGTGCAAGGTTGGTCAACTGAACAGAAGATGATGACGCCATTAAGAAAGAGAAAGTAAACCTGAGGGAGGGGCAGGTGGTGTCCGGAATGTGAATTTGAAATATTTGCTAAGGTTGAAAGTTTCCATAAGAAATAGCATGGAGCTTAGAGGCAGAGTCAAATCTTGGGAACCAGCAACAAACTATTGGTAGCTTAAGAATAAAAACTGAATTTAAAAAAAAAAAAAAAGAGTAAAAACTGAAGACAGATAYCAAAAGAAATAGCAACATATAAGATAGAGAGGGGCAATAGAAGAGGAGATTAAAAAAAAAAAAAAACAGGAAAATGAGGTGGTCAACTACAGGGATCATAATTAGAATACAGGTTGAAAAAGGCTCCTAGATGCAAGTAGGAGGCCTTTAGTATCCTTAAAGAGTACAATTCAGGGCTGGGGATGTGGCTCAAGTGGTAGCGTGCTCACCCAGCATGCGTGAGGCACTGGGTTCGATTCTCAGCAMCACATAAAAACAAAATAAAGATATTGTGTCTACCTAAAACTAAAAAATAAACATTTTTTTTAAAAAAGAATGAAATTCAGTAAACTGAAATGGCTTGTGATATGAGTGAAAGGTAAACAAAGGAAATACCAAATGTGGCTAATCCAAAAATGAGAATAAGTGAAAGATTCTTTTGGAAATAGAGATCCTTGGGCACATTACTGGGTATAGACAAAGACTGAAGAAATGAGAGAAGAGAAAAYTAAAAGTGAAACATTCAAGGAAAATGCAGGTACACAAAGAAGAGTTGGAAAAGGGTTAGGATTATGCCTCTATAAGAGGATAAATGTGGTATGCAAGTAGAAGGGAAAGAAAATTATGGAACTCCTGGTTGGTAGGGATTAAACTCAGGGGTGTCCTACCACTGAGCTACATTCGCAGCCCCACCCTGTTTTTTTGAAACAGGGTCTTGCTAAATTGCCTAGGTGGGCATCAAACTTGTGATCCTCCTCCCTCAGTCTCCTGAGCTGCTGAGATTACTGAGGTGCTCCATTATTCCTGGTCACTGTGAGCTTTTATATCCATTTGTGTGTCCATTTGCTCCTTCCTATGCTCTTTTCCATAAACACAGCATTTTTTTTTCTGATACATTTCCCTAAATACTAAAGTATGTACTTAAGGATAGAGATATTTTTTTATAATCACAATGATCAACTTTAATTAAGTTTAACATTGATAATTTTATCTATTTTTATCTACCATTCATTTGCCAATTTTGTTAAATGGACTCAAAAGTTATCTTTATACCATTTACTCCTGATTCAGCTTAAGGTCAGACATCACAATTAGTTGTCATAACTGAAAGATTATTTTTAATATTAAAAAGAATCTGATAACTATTTAAATTTAGGGATTGAAGGAAAGGGATTAAAAAATCCAGATGATTAGGAGTTTAGGGGGTCATTGGCAAGATAATATAGGACTATCTAGGATAAGACAGTAAATTCAGTTTTGGAAGGTTAAACTTGAAAGGTCTGTGAACCATCCAGATGGAGATAACCAACAGACAGCATCAAAAGAGGGGGAAAAAATCCCAGAGCTTGAAAAGAAGGTCAAGGACAAGGGTACATGGATTATTCTATCGACAAAAATACTCAGGGATGATTTTATTCCAAAACTCAAATAATAATAACAATAAGAACAAAATTTCAAACTTCAATGTTTAAAGGACTTAAATGAAAAGGAGTCAGCAAGCAAAAAAGTATGGTCATGAGAAATAAGATATCTAACCATTTAAGTTTAAATTATACATAAAACCAGTGCTTTTCCTGTCTTTAAAAAAGAAATAAGAAAACAAGGGACTAAATCATTAAAACAAACAAACAAACAAACAAACAGAGGCAAAACCAAAAAGAAAGGTGTAGTTCAAGATAAAGGGGGGCCCAACAGTAGAGCATTTAGCTTAGTATGCTTACAAGCACTGCAAACAAAAAAACATATATATAAAACTTGTGAGATATTTAGATGGAGACTGAACCCAATCATAAAATCTGGCAACAGGAATTTTCAATAATGACTTAATTGAAATAGTCTCTCAGAATGATGGAGGTAGAAGGTTTGCCTCAGTCTATCTTAGATGTCTTTCTCTACCAACCTAATAAATATTAGTTTAGCCATAAACTTGATTCCTTGCCCTGGGATCTGGTACTAGGGCCAGCCCCGCAAAGAAGGAAAAAATGTGATTAATGAATTCTTACAGCAGGATTTTGGAATGAAGACAGACAGCTCATTGGTGTCTTTAATTCTTGGTTCTAATAACAGGATTGTTCCTCTGACAAAACTTTCACCTTTATTTCCCACTGCCTGAAACAAATGCTTCACGCTCTGCACCTACCTAGATGTTCAAGGCCTAGAAACCTGTAACCGAACAAAGAAGACTAAAATAAAATGGTGCTGATTATATATTCAGTTAACTGTATTGTTTACATTTTTTGTTTATCCTGCCCCAACTCAGATAATAAGCTCTATAAAGGCAGGTTTTTTGTCATCTTCCTATTCAATGTTATCACTTGTCTTGTTCACCTAAGCACTAAGAAAGCAAATTATAGAACAGAAAGCTGAAGGCTTTTAATGATACAATCTCAGCCATCATGAATAATTTCTGAGCAATTATGAGTAATTTCTGAGCAAATAACAGAAATACCAAAAGACTGCTGTGGCCTAATCTGCTAGGAAAATTCCCATCTAGAACAACCAGAAACTATCATTTGATGGCAGTAACCAAATCCCAGGAAAACTATGACACTAATTAATAAGTATCAATTTGTTAATTTTAAAAAAGTTCCCAATTTTAAAAAAAAACAAGTTATATAACCTCAAAAATCAGCTGAATTTTACAAAATTAATTTTCCAAGTGTACTTCTTTAAATAGTACAATGGATATTACTTTCCATCAAAATGGGGATCTGGGGGAAGCCTATCAGAAAGGCTAAATATGCAGCCAATTAATTTTCCAATAGAAAAGTTTGGGATATGCTTCTGAAGAGTTGATAACTCCTTAAGGATTTAAAGACCTTAAGTTGTAGAACAAGGAGAATTTGATAAGCTAATGAAAAGATCTTATAGTCTATTGTAAAAAGTTTATTTGAAACTCCTTTGTATCTTAATTAACAATTAGCATATCAATATACCACACAGGTACACCAAAGATTATTTTTAAAAAGTTTATTTTAAAAATCTTAATTACAATATCAATAATACGTTTATCATAGTAAATTTGGAAAACAAAAATGGAATGAACATTAAAAATCACCAATATTTTCAAACATAGTTGGCATTTAGTTGTACTTTCTTACTTTTTTTCCTTAAATGTACAAATATAAATGCTTTTAAATAAACCTCAGTGTTTTCCACATAGACAATTTATATCCATCCTGTTTTTGAAATATAGTATTATATTATGGAACCATTTCCTACAGCTTAGTCACCTTTCAAAAATCATGATTGTTAATGGCAGCATTATGTATTTTATTCTAGAGTCAACTAAAAATTCATTCTTAACTTCCTGTTCAAAAATCTGTCACATCTTTTTCTTTTTTTGAAGTGCTAGGGACTGAACCCAGGTCCTTGTGGCAGTCAAGTGCTCCACCACTGAGCTATATCCTCAGCCCTCTGATTACGTTTGAGAATGATTCCCAAAAATGGCATTACTAAATCAAAGGGTGTAAACATTTTAAGGTTCCTGACACGTGCTGTGAGATTGTTTTCTAGACAGATAATATCACTTTAAATTCCCTGTGCCACATATGGAACATCTCAGTAATGAAAATTCTCTATTACTTTGTGAATAATTTTTCCTAATTTAAATACTTAAGTAATATACAAGTAATTAAAACTAAAATCTATTTAATGAAATACCTTAATGAATACCTTAATATAAATCTGAGCAATTGAACAAGATTTGATGCTTGCCTTAGAGACACAACCAAGCAAATTCAGTTGCTAAAGCTTCAAAAATACTTTCTTATTAGAAAGATCAAGAAGATACTATGACATTGTAAGAGAATATTTTTTATCCATACAGGAAAAAGTTAGAACACTACTCTTAAATGCTCCTATTCAAGAAAATTATGCTTAAATATTTTGTTCAAGGAATATTGTAAATAAAAATTCTAGGATGCCCAGGAAAGAGATTCAAGAGACAWTGAAATTCAAAACACTCAGATTTAAAGAAAATGTAAAATAAAGGTACTAATTGAAATATATGAAAGAAAGAGACATTTTTACATGGTACAGTACCTGATTAGAACTGGCTTTTTCAAGTCTGTCAATCATAATTTCAAATTGCAAAGGCTTAATTTCCATTTTTCTGTTAAGTCTATTTAATAAGGTCTCATCTTCTGAATCCATATCATAATCTGGTTGCTCGTTGTCTAGATTAAAAGCTAGAAAAGAAAAAAATTATTATTCAAACTCAGGAGAAATAATGAAGTCATACAGTATTTTTATCACATTTGACCAGATTACTTCTAAATTTATATGCATTGACCAAAGAGTTTGTGAGCAGATATCTAAAAATCCGTTTCAGAGGCTAACTGCACAGTGGAAGAAAAAATAGTTTGCTTTACATATGATTTAAAATTTAAGAGTAAAAACATAAAGAAATTAATTTCTTATTTAAAAAATGATCACATGATAAAAATTTATAATAGCAATTACAAAAAAGATAATCAACATGGTAGTTCTGGTAGCATAATGAGAAGCTATGAAACAAAATTAAAAATCCAGAAATAAACCTATGTACATAGCTTATGTTTTGAACCACTGAAGATAAAAGGCAAAGCATTATTTAAAAAAAAAAAAAAAAAAGCTGCAGGGCACAATGGTGTGTGCCTGTCATCCCAATGACACAGAAGGCTGAAGTAGGAGGCTGAGGCAGGAGGACTGGAAGTTGAGGGTCACACTGGGCAACTTAGTGAGACCCTTTCTCAAAATAAAAAAATTCTAGGGTTGCGGGTGTAGCTCAGTGGTAGAGCAACCTTGGGTTCAATCCCTACCTAGTACCATTAAAAAACAAAACAAAAACCCAAGGTGTTGATATAGGCAGACTAGTTATTTAAAAAAAATTAATCTGAATTCCTACACCACTTCTAATATCAATAAATAATATATTCAACACGATTTTATAGTAAAAAATATAAAAATACTATAAGGAAAGGAGGGGGAAATGTATGAACAAGTACAAATTCAGAAACCACAGAACTGATATAAGAAATGATTATATTAACAAAATTAAAAATTTCTGCATACAAAATTTAATAAATAAAGTCTAAAGACAAAGAACCAACAGGGGGGAAAAAGTAACACATAAAAGGGCTGATTTCTTAAAATTACCAAGAAAAAAGCCAGAAACTTAACAAAATTGGGCAAAAGATTTTTAATGGAGACTAAGTGTAAATGACTTTTAAACATTAAAAGCCTTTACCTTATTCATAATTAGATAGATGCAAACACAGTAAGAAGACATTTTCACTCGTCACATAGACTAAGATCTAAATACTATAAGATCTAATATGCTATTTTGGAATATGAACAGGAAATTATAAACTGATATTTAGTTCAATTAAAAATATATCCTGGGGTTGTGGCTCAGTGATATAGAGTGCTTGCCTGGCATATGTGAGGCACTGAGTTTGARCCTCAGCACAACATAAAAAATAAACAAAGATATTGTGTCTATTTACAACTAAAAAGACTTAAAAAAATACATCCTCTTGGACTTAGCAATTCTATTTCTAAGAATTTATCCTACAAATAAACTTATGCAGATACAAACATATATACACAGGGCCTTAATTTTGATACTGGGATAAGCAAAAAACAGAAAACAAGCAATTATTTGCAGATTAGATAAATAACAGTATGTATATACTAAAGTATAGACTGAAAGGCTAAGAAAAGAATGAGTGACCCATGTAAAATGAGATGAAATAAAGCTGACTTTATGACCATTATGTGAAAAAAAAGCTAAGGTGCAGAATAGTAGTGTATACAATGTACCGTTTTAGAAAGGACAAGAATGGATACATATGCCTGTGTTTATAAAGCACAGAATATTTTTGAAAAGATACACAAGAAACCAGTAATAGTTCTCTACTTTTGGGTAAGGGGACACTGGGAATAGGATGGTAGAGGGAAATAAATTTTATTCTTTTTCCTTTTGTATTGTTTGACATTTAAGCATATATGTGTACTAATTATTCAAATATAAAAGGGGAAAAGACTCAAGTGCCAAATTATGTACTGAAATKACATGACAAGATTTAGAGCAAGGCAACAGATACACCAATCACCAATAGATTGGTTATTTTAAGGTTGCCTGCATATCAAGGTATAGGTGAGTATCTTCCATTTATATCACGTAAAATGTCCTGGCCTTCTCAGATTCAGAATGATATTTGAAAGGTCATTCTTAACAGAGTAATCTAAACAGTGCACATATTTATAAAATTTCAGTAAAATCAGCCCATTATTACAGGCAATACTGAGGAACTTTAATATTTAAAAGCATTTGTGTTAAAAAAGTGACTACATCTCATAAATCTGAATTCTAGTTAACTTGTTAAAAAAATTTCACCACTAGATAATAAGAAAAAAGTAAGTTAGCTAATACTTGTTAATTTTATTGCACTATGGACCAGGCTTTGTTGTTCAGCATACTTTACGCATACTAAATTAACTGTCACAACCTCACTGTATAGCAGTATTTTATCTCCCAATGTGTATCATATTCTAAAAATGTTAAATGTTACTGTATTTAACTTGTATTACAAAGTACAAAATGAGTTTTATGAATCAGAGAAATTATAGTTACTGGTAAACTAATGATACAGATTATTTCATAAGTATGATTCATTTTAAATATTCTTGAAAACAAGATGTACTACCTGATTATCAATAACTCAAAGCTACACTTTTATAAAGTTAATCCAATTTATGTCAAACTCAGTGATAGATGATGTGGATCTTCCAAACTAAACATATTACTAAACATATTCCTTCCACAAAGGAACATTATATTTGTAAATGCACACAATAAATGTGCAATGATCTGCCTTTAGTCCATAGACTAACAACAAAAAGTTAATAAAATCATGTAGTTGGTAAAACTGGAAGACATTTTAGAGAAAAATTTTAGGAAGTATTGAGCAGAGTTAACTCAACATTATTAATTTCTAAGGTAAACAAAAATTTTCAAATGTTCAAGGGCAAGGCTATATATACAATTTTTGCATGACCATCTTTTACACACCTACCTAATCTTACTCACCTCTTGTTCCTCCACCTCCTATCTGCTCTATCTTCTTATTCTATTCTTATAAAAGCCAGCACCCCAGCTTGTGAGGCAGGGGAAGGGACAAGAAAAGCTGGGAAATAGTTTAGAAAAATTAATAGTGAGAATTGATAGGAGATCTGACAATGTGTTAAATCAGAACCAGGGCAAAGATTTGCACTAGCTCTGTAAGTATTCTAGTACTAGCATTTCTCTTTTTATTAAAAAACTACACAAAGATCATTATAGATTTAGGTATTCTGTTGCTTCTAAACCAGGTACTGGTGTTTCATTTATACCTCTTTTTTACCTTATATTATACTGAACATCTTCTCTACCAGACAAGAAATTCTTTAAAAGCAGTAATTACTTTAGTCATATTTGAATATCCTCTCCATAATACTTAAAGAGAAAAAAGTGAGCACTAAAGTTGATGATTAAAAATAGCATTTCTTAAATATAAGGTATTCTTTAAAACTACCAGCAAAATGTTTTCTATAAGTTTACAGATACCTCATTTTATGAAACCCAGAAAACTTTTTCCTGATTAAAAAAACCAAATCTTAAAAATAGAGGATTAGTTTCACAAGCCAATCAACCAAGCGAAATACTCCTCTATACACCTACCCCCCCAAAGGGGGGGGGGGAGAATGAGAAATTTCTTGATGTATATTGACAGAATTTATACATGATGAACAAGGTTAATACCAGCAAGTGTCTGTGTGCATAGAGAAGACTTCTTATGGTAACATTAACTAACAATTAAGAAACATGAGGGTATTTAAGTTGTGCATGATCACTATGAGAAGGGAAAAGGAAGTGGGAAGGAAAGCAGATCAAAAAGTGTCTTGCAGTAACTGTCAGGAAAGTTTGTATGCTCTCTAGGAGGAGGCCAACAACTTCTGTGTAAGTAAGGCAGTGGATATAACCTGCTATTGGAATATGTAAAGCATCTACAAGATCACTGGTCATAGCTTAGAGAATGTACTGTCCATCTAAAATTAGCTGATTAAAGAAAGGATTACTTCTAGTTAAAAGAGTCTTTTAAAGTCCTTTAGTAATTGGCTATATTCTTATGCAAAAATGTAACAAGAAGAGCTGTTTAATGGAATGAACCCAGAAGAAGAAATAAAAGAAAATTTCCCAGGGCCAAAATATGGCAAGATATTTTCAGATTAAATGATGCTCATTAAGCATGGTACAAAATGAGTAGCATGCAATACAATGAAGGCATGATGATAAGCAAGTTACTGTCCATTACTTCATAATGATTATAAATATGAATTACTATTACTTCCTAGTATTATGCCTATTACATACTATATGTTAAGAGAATCACTTATTCTCTACTTCTCAACTTAAATCCTCAGGAGAGTATAGAAGGATACTTTTCAGTTTCTTTGTACCCCATCATTCTCTCCTGATTAGTGAACTTGGGAGGAGGACCTTATCAGCTCAATACCTTCTGGGTGAATGTTTTTTTTGCTCCTTCACACAGGTTGCATTTCCAATGGGGTGAGGGTGGAGGTTTGAGGTGGTTCTGATGTCAGTAACCAACTATAAGGGTAGGATACGGCAGACCCTACTCAGTATTTTATAAGTGGTTATTCTTTCTTTCTTTCTCTCTCTCTCTCTCTCTCTCTCTCTCTCTCTCTCTTTTTTTGTGGGGGGGGTACTGGGGATTGAACTCAGGGGTACTTGACCACTGAGCCACATCCCTAGCCCTGTTGTGTATTTCACACATTTTTTTTATGAATTTAATACTCTTTCAGGATATGTTTTCTTCTTCCATTGTCTGTTTTCATTGAGTTGCTTAGTGCCTCGCTAAATTGCTGAGGCTGGCTTTGAACTTGTGATCCTCCTGCCCCCCAAGCCGCTGGGATCACAGATGTGCACCAGAACACCCAGCTTCTCTTTCTTTTTGACTCCAGAATATTCAATGTTTCCCCCTACTTTGGTCTTCATTACATGTCCTTTAGACAATATATAGTCAACACAAAAAGTTTATTTACTCACCCTGTTTTCTCTGGTTATTTATACAACTAGGAGGCAATAGCATATGTTGTATAAGTACTCTTTTACACACCAAACATATCAAAAGTGCTTTAAATT